AATTAAGACTATGAAGAAGGGAAAGGAGCGATTACAGGTGACCGGGAGAACAGAGATGGTGGGGAAAAAAAAGCGAGGGCTGGAAAGAGGAAGTTGGTGGATATCAAGGCACCATATGGGTCGTTGAAGACAAGGTCCACACCGCATGTATTGATGAAAGCAATACAAAGGATGAATGTTGTTCAGCGTGCTGAGGTTGAAAGAATTGGGTTTGGATCAGTTTTAAGGCTTGATATTTGGGAGTTGCCATCAAGATTGGGTCTTTGGGTTGTAAGTAACTATGATGCGAGGAGCAGCTGCTTAAAACTTCCGGACAGTACGAAGATGGACATAACTGCCGAAGATGTTAATACCGTATTGGGCTGGCCGGTGGGGGGAGAGCGGGTTCAGAATAACAAGCGCAAGAAGGACAAGTCACTGTTGAATGAGTGGAGACTTAAGTTTGATACGACGGGTATTAAGATCACTCCGAATGATGTTGTAGAGAAGATGTTGGAGTGCACAGAGGGAGGAGAGTGGTTTGTGAGGCATTTTGTAACGCTAATTGTGTCGGTGCTTGTGGATAGCACATCACACGGTTATGTGAATGCATTGGTGATGGACAATTTGAGAGATGTTGGAAGAGTTCCAAGGCTGGATTGGTGTCAATATGTCCTTGACAAGCTCATAGAGAACAAGTTGAAGTGGGAGAAAAAAAAGAAGCAGTTATTCAGTGGTCCACTGTTGTTTCTACTGGTATGATTTATAATACTGTTTATAGTGCATTATTTACATTCTAACATGCTTATGAAAAAAACATTTTGCAGGTGTTCTACGTAGATCGTGTGTCTGATTTTTCAAGGACGGTTCCTAGGACATATCCAGCTGTGTTGGCCTGGAGTGGAAAGGAACTAAGGAAAAGAGAGAACAGTGAAGTTTCTGAGGGGGGTTTTGGTTTAGGTCATGACGATGGGCGAATGAGTCGTGAGGCGCGCATTCAGCTGAACGGAGATATGAATGAGAGAGAACAGGATGCTGTCGGGGATAGAGATGAAACTGAACAAGAGAACTTGGTCGTTGAAGATTCAGAGGAGGTAAAGTTTGCATGTGTTAATGAGCATGAAAAATGGTGATTTGTTATATGTAGATAGGTGAATTTTCAACATTTATGCGCTTTTGTCGTTTTACGTTTTATCTAGGTGCTTGTAAGGAAAATTGCAGACAAAAGCAAGATCCTGGCAAGCACAATTATTGATCTGCTAAACATGATTCAGGATGCACCAAAGTCGATGGAAAAGAATTTGATGTTTCGTAAGATGCGTAATATGTGCCATAAAGTAATTGGCATAAATGTTGCAAAGAAAGCTAATATTGAACAAGATGTTGAGAATAATGAAACAGACATGTCGGAGGATTCAGATTTCTGGAGCAGTCCAGACCTTTGGGCAGCAGTTGATGAAGCGGAAAAGGTAGCTGAGGTGCGAAAGAAGTATGAGGAATTCATTAACGATGTGCCTTCTTTCAGTCTGGGGATGACACAGGCTTTGGAAGAAGATGTGGAGAGCAATCGTGAGAATGCAAAGAGCAGTGAAGGGAATGAAGTGAATGATGTGAATCAAGTGGTGATGCCAGCGAACAGAATTCCTATTGATCCTCAGCACACCCCAAACATGGATGTCACAGCCTTGGAGTTTGGGAGTGTGGGGTCTGTGAGGGGAGAGGAAATGCATCACAACAAAGATATAGAGCAGAATGAAACTGTGATTGGTGTAGAGGGTGATGAAGTTTGTCATGACCTGGGTGTGAACCTCCAGGTAACACAACTTTCTGTACACATTGCATATATATATAAATGTAGTGCACATATTCATGATATAAATGTTGTTTGCTTTTATAATAGATTGAAATGGTGGTTGAGGAGGGAAGGTGTGTAGAAGATCCTGTGATGAAAAGGAAAAAAGATGAGGTAATTGAATAGGTGCTTAAATTAAGTACATAATATGATACGGCAAATTGATTAATATTCATTGGACAGGTTGTGCAAGACGAAAGGGCTAAAAGGAAGCCGAAAACTGCTTTGACGTTGAAGTCACCATACCTAACACGGGTGGTAGATCCAAGAGATAATGCTAACACATCGGAAAGAAATATTTGGAAGTGGGTTGTGAGGAATAAAGATGAAGACAAGTTCGTGCTTTATATCATGTTAAAGAAACATATTTTCATGAAATTAAAGTTGTCATTCTTGAATTTGGTACTGTATAATTTATGCAGGGAGGAGGTTGTGTTCAATGGGTATAATATTTTGGTTGAGCGTGGAGATTTGTTGATGTTGGAAAGTGGCCATCCGATATCTCCGCGGGTAGTTGATGCTTGGTCTTGCATATTGAATCACAAGGAGATGTTTCGTAGCGTTGCGTCTCCAGCCCGGTTTTTTGCAAAAACAATTAACTGTGTAGGTTACTGTCTAGTAATATACTTAAATACTCTTTTGATTTTGTTTATTTATATATATTACTCTATAATTGCAGATGTTCATGAGTGAGGGGGATGTGGAGAAAGATGTCGATGCTTATAAAGTGGTTTCTGATGCTCTGGATTATGGGTGGAGCTTAACCAATCCATGCGATGCTGATATGGTGAGTTTATTGATGCCTGATTCAGATTTATTCATGGGTTGTTGTTATGTTTATTTATACGATACTCATGGTAAGTTCTAATTACTAGCGCATGGACCATATTTTTTTATGCGTAAAAAGGGAACATATATATGAAATAAGAGAAATGGAAAAGTCGGATGAGAAGATACGTATTTCAACAATCTAATGTTTTATCATTCTTTTTATTGCAGCGAAACATGGTTGTTAAGTATTTTGAAAATAAAGGTATGGATGGCCGGGTGGAAAAGGTGAAGGCACAACAGCCAAAACGATTACAACTGCCGTGGAGGGATTCGACTGCCGTATTTGATTATGGTGTGATCACAATGCGCCATATAGAGACGTACACGGGGCAGACATTGAAGCGGTGGGACTTTGGTTTGAAAAAGGGGGACGGAAAGGCGGTGAATGCACTTAGGACAAAGTACTGTGCTGCAATAGTCGAATCAGATGTGAACGGGGTTAGGGAGAAGATTAGGCAGTTGGTGAAGCACAATACTGGATGAAGACTGCATGCTTGGATGAGAAATTAATGTTTTAATGAGTGACTTGGCATGGGGATTATGATCCGTTTGTTTTATGTTTTTAGGACTTGCATTTGGGTGACATTTTGATGTTTTTGGTTTGGTGCATAGCCCCTGAATGAGTCCATCACTGGCTTGTTCATTTTGCTAGATGGGGTTGAATTATTGCTCAGAATGAGCGTAGTTAGTAATATCTTTTATTATTTAAAAAGAATTCTTGTTAAAAAATTATGGGACGTTAGTGATGTTTAGTCAACATTTATTTTGCAAAAGTAATTAGGTAATACCTGGCAAGTTTATGAAAGTCATTGATTAGCGTAATCAGCGATTGGATAATATTTCCATATGTGTGTTGATTGTGGTATTAAACGTGAATGCACGGTGCTCTTGCATTGGTGTACATGTATGCGTATTTTAGTGCAGTAGTATTGAGTTATTTTTCGAGTGTTTGAGGGAGCATTTGATTAAGGAGAAGGTAAATAACTTCTTGCAGGGTAAATAGTGTTTTGGTGCGGTTTGGAGGTGTTTGAATGCAATGTAAGAGTTCTTTATAGAGATGTGGTGTTGTTGAAAGTTGTGATTTGGGACAATGGTTAAACGAGATTCTGGACACATTTGGTTAATAAACGAAAATAGGAAGAACGAATGGGTGACGCTTTTTAACACTCATAATCCCCCGTTATTTTACGAGTATCCAAAGTTTATATAAAAGTAACTATTAAGGCGTTTCATTCGTGTTTCATGTAAGGTGAAGTGTGTGAGGCAGTGTTGGAACATAAGTCTAACTTTTGATGATGTGGAGATACGTACAATGCATGAATTGATGAATAAATTATTTCATTGGTAATCAAAATTGGAGTAATACACAAGTAATGGGAAAAAATTAAAGGAGAGGGGGGGGGGACCTTATATGGGACACATGAGTCCATCTTGCGCTAAAAAGATTCAACACAAAAAAAATAAAATGTTTGTAGGAAAAAAGTAATATTATGTCAAAGTATTCATCGGACAATTTCTACTATCGTGATAGGCCAGCTCTTTGCAAGTTCGACACAAGCGTTTGTTCTTCTTGCTTTGTTCAATCTGGAGCTCTTTAGCACTCTTGATGCGCTTACCACTACCCTTGTTGTGAGCTGGTTGAGGTGGAAGCACTTTAATCACTGATGGAGCGGGAACACCACAGTAATTTTCAAAGAGGTTAGGTTCTCCAGCACCTGCATCCTAGGAGGAAACAACAGATTGAATGAGCTCCTTTTGTTCAGTAATTACCTTGGAGAAAGCATATGATAACTCGGGGTTATTTTCAATGAGTGCAACACAAGAGTGAATGTTAGACCATAGGCGGTTGAGCATTAATTTGTTTTCGTCAACGGATGATTCCGAGGTAAAGTCCAGGCCAAAAACATCGATCAGTGGCTTCAGGAGTGGTGTTTTGCACCATCTATTGGTAATATAACGTTCTGGGATCAGTTTGATTCTCAGTCCCTTGAACACCAAGAATATGTGACGGCACAGCAGACCAATGCGCTGCCAATATTTACATGTGCAGAAGAAAGAGCCTTCTAAGGTTGAATGTTCAACGTTAACAACCATATCTCGGGAATCCTACACAACAAATGTTAACGTATGCTCCTTCTTGTCCACCTGTAGCACGCTGCACGAGAAGCATGATGCACATATCTCTGTTTGTACTTCGTAGAAGATGCTCAGAGTGTAGATGGATGCTGCATGTTTCTCAATTGCAAGCGGTGTTTTATAAACAGGGGCGCATGCTTCTGAATCTCCATCCAAGTTGTTGGGAGTCCATAGCACTTTCAAATTGCATATAAAACTCGACAAGAGTGAAGAAGGTATTTTTGAAATCACCAAAAAAGCTATTCTCGCTCTCAGAACGTGATGTTGTGCGTAGTAAACCAATCATGAACAAATCCCTAAAGTATGCGGGAATCCAGCTTTTACGAATAGCAAAAAGATTGCAAAACTATGAATCAGAATCCAGCTCATAATCAACTAATACCTCATGCCATTGTTTTTCCCAGTCTTCAGGCTCGAGGTAATGACTCCATATTACAGAGTTTAACCTTGTCAAAAAGTCCTGATCTTTTGCAAGTTCATTGTCAACTTTGGACGTAATTTTGTTGGTAATATGCCACATACAGAGACGATGGACTGTGTTTGGGAAAACCTCTGGATTAGCAATAGCCATAGAAGCATCAAGAAAGCGATTGAACAACCATCTGTACGAAGGAACATCTTCTCTGCGCAGCAGACCAGCTGCAAAGGTTACACATCTGCGGTGATTATCTACACCAGTAAATGGTGTAAAAACCATTTTGTACCTGCACCACAAGAAACACACCCAGAACCAAACTAGTTCAACCCCTGAAAACATGTTTATAACGCTAGAAATAATACTTATGCAGTGCATCAAAGGCATAACGTGCTGCATTAAAAGAATATACCTATTTGTGTTGAAGGTTGCATCAAATGAAATGAGATCTCCAAACATTGCGTAGTTCTTTTTAGCAATAGGATCGCACCAGAATACCCTAGTTAGCTGGTCACTCTCATCAACATCATAGTCAAAATGGAATGCAGAGCATGTTTGTTTCTTTTTGAATAGTTTGTCAATGAGCATTTGAGCATCAGCGCCTGCAATATATGCCTTTAAGTCTCGTTTGAAATTTTTGAAGTCAATTGCAGTGGCACCCACATTATTCAAGCCACCAACTGATTCCTTAAACAATTGGTAGGACTTCATAGGGCCAATGTTCGCCTTTGCACAATTCAACATAAACTTCTTGTGGCCAATTTCTAGATTTCTGTTCATTTTCAAAAAGGGCCTAGATTGAAGGGACATCATGGGATGGTTATGACTTTCAATGAATGATGATATGGAGTAGCCTACACCACCCGTGAGCCTAAATGCCACACGCGCCTTGCAATCAACACGATTGGAAATGCGTCTCCTCTGTTTTGCCTTGGGAAAGTCTCCATCGTCGTGAGTGGGTTTGTTGCAGGTTGATGCAAAATGCTTATGACCTTCGCGGTTGCATACAACGTACCGCCACACAACAACACCCGAAACCTTCAAATTGGTGCTTTTACAAATGTCAAAACCTGCCAATGCAGCCTATTGCTTGTAAAAATTAAATCCGTCCTCTAAGGATTGGAATACCATTCCCACTTTGGGCTTGGCCTCTTCAGGGCAGGCAGGAATAAATAAGTTGGATGAAGTCGAAATAATTTCTATTGCATGTGTCGGGCCTTCGTTTGAAGTCATAGGTGTGTACCTTGGCCATAATCGACGGAGGAAGGTTAGCTAAATGCATTACGTAATTATAATTATGTAATACAGGATTCAAAAAAGCGAACTAGAGGACATATGTATGAATAAATAAACACAGAAGGTGAGAAATGACATGAAGCGTAATTTCATGAAAGTGGCCGCAATTGACGAACAACAAAGAGAAAAGAGAACCAGCAAAAGACGAAATGTAGTCCACCAAAAAATAGTTACAGGCATTACCAATACCTTTTTGAAGCATTGTTGAATTGAGTAAGCATGATCAGTCGTGGGGGGTCATTTTGATGCAGTAAGCATGGTCAGACGATGGGGGTCATTTAATGCAGTATGCAGACATGATGATGCAATACAAAATGCATGAAATGCATAAAGAAATAAAATATAACCCTTTTTAGACATAATGCATACAAAAATATATGGGTGCAGTGTTTCATGAAGCTGTACTTAGTTTAACCAGCAACCTTTGAAACGATAACCCCATTAAGAAAAATTCTAAATCCCAAAGAAATTTATAAGTAACTTCACAATGAATGTAAGCGCATCCATGGATCTAACGAACTGGAGAGGCTAGTGAAATTTACATACCATGGTTACGTAATTGTAGACAAAAAGAATCACAAAAAACACAAACCTGGAACCATGATAAAAGATCGAGCAGCAAAGCCGCTCCCAATTACGGCCGAATTGGAGGTTAGCAAGAGTTTGGTAAATAAGGGTATTCATATCTCTAGAAAGGTTAGAGAGAAAATGGGGAAAGTGAATCAGATTGTGCGTGAGAAATCAGGGATGAGAATGCCTCGCGATGGTTTGCGTTTGAAGGAAGTTCCGTAAAGACTTCTAAGCCCTGGCGATAAGATTGAAAACTCATCAGATCGGACGATTTATAAGTACTCTTATTTCTTTCATTAGATCCTCTTTCTCACCGGAACCAAACTCTCTCTCTCTCGCTCTATATATATATATATATATATATATATATATATATATATATATATATATATATATATATATATATATATATATATATATATATATATATATATTTCGGTTCCGGTGAGAATAGAATCTAGTAAAAGAAATAAGAAAACATTTCCACCGTTAGATTTACTGGATTGCATCGCCTATTAGATTGCATCAGCTAAGGGTAATTATGTATTTTCGTAACCATTTCCCTTTATGTATTTCTATTATATTCAGTTCCGCAAGTCTAGCGCACGTCAAATGTTCAATTCTAAATCTCAAATAGTTTCTAGAGTTTTATCTTCTAATTCATTTATTTACATCTTAAAAATTTCAGTGTTTATCTAATCCTTCATATTTCTAAATTTTTGTATAAAAATATGTGCGTATCTGATTGATTTGTTTTACCCAATTTCCAGTATGTGTTTTTTTCCAACTTGCATGGTGCATCTAATTTCTATTTTGTTGCATTTTGTTTTCCCATTTCCTATTCCTGTGCGCATCTAGTTCATTTTTTCCCAATTCATAATTTTTATGATGCATTTTGTATTTTCATATTTGTATTCACGCTTTTATTTCCTTTCTTATTTTTTACTTTTTGTTTACTTTTCTCTATTTGTTAGAAATTGTTGGGCTTGGCAATGATCGATGTTGGACAATTAGGCAATGATCGATGTTGGACAATTAGGACTTCATTGGGGTTGACTGATTTTATTTTTTTCCTTATTGTTTGTTTTTTCATGTTATGGTGCATTATGAGAATCTGCACAATGCATTAATATGAGAAGAAAATACATTTTTCACAATCAATGTAAATAATAGATAATGCTTTCTTTTACTATGCATTCTCAAAAAAAATTGATGCATCTCGGTGAAATCTTCCTAATACAAATATGTTGCATCTGTATATTCCAGATAATGCATTTTCAGCAAACGATGATGCATTTAAAATGTTATGTGATACATTTAGAAATGGGTTAGATAATGCATTCTTTTACTCTGCATTCTTTAAAAAAATTGATACATCTCAGTGAAATCTTCCTAATACAAATATGTTGCATCTGTATATTCTAGATAATGCATTTTCAACAAACGATGATGCATTTAAAATGTTATGTGATACATTTAGAAATGGGTTAGAGACACATTGAATGTGTGCCTATTTTAAATTATAAAAATGTGCATTTAAGACGTCTAAATGTAAGATGAGAGACTATAAAAACAAATTGTTGCCTATTAACTCAGATGGTAGAGCGATATCTATATATTACGGATGTGGGTTCGAATCCCGCATAGACAAACTATTTCTCATATCTCTACTAGAGATGTTTTGAATGCAACACATTCCAAGATTTTTTCATCACATACAAGGTCACTACTGATTCATTATTCACTCTTCCAAAAATAAATTGAATAAAACAAAGAATAAAGTATAAGGTCAAATCACAGTGCATTTATTGGTCATCATAGTGCATCTCCCAAGATAAATCCAGAAACTTAAGATATTAAAAATTGTTTCCTAACAAAGATGCATTTTCAATGATACATTTTCACTCTTTTTAAATTCGGTGTCAAATCAAACTTAGAATTCTAATTTGGGATGGGGGAGTAGCATTAAGAGAATGTCACATCGCGAAAAACCATACTAAAAATTATACAATATATACATTTGGTAAGAAAATAGACAAAACAGAATTTATAAATTTTACTCCTTACATTGAAATTATATGTGAAACGTAGATAATATAAAAATATAATATTCAATATAGGTGTCGTTTTATAGATCTCAATGACAGATATTCAACGATATGTTATTTGTCAAAGACAGATTTGTGTACAAAAAATTATGTATAAAAAAGAGAGTACAATACCATAATTAAATATTATAAAAAATTAATATTATAATATCATATAATAACGGATCCTACATAAGGATTGTTTTTATTCTTTTTCCTTGTTGCGTTATTACGGAGTATTAATATCACTAAACCATCTAATTACGTT